CAGGGCCGTTCAACGGTGTTCTCAGGCTCTGGCCACTTTTCGGCTCACCACCCACCGCTAAACAGTCCTGGCGACCTCTTTTTTTTTCTGTCACTCCTATTTTCGCCGATTCTCGGTCACGAAAGCTGGCCGATCGAATAAGACGGTTCTCCGGCGGTAGACCGTTCACGAGGGAATTTCAGAGAAAGATCGAGCTCACGTAGAGAATGGAGACAGAGAAGAAGGGGGAGGACGAAGAAAAGGTGGCTGATCAAGCGAAGTTTGCTCACTCACTTCCTCGCGGCGCATCACTTCCACCTGCAGCCGCTTCTGATACTCCTCGCACTCGTCCTTGTACTTCTCCATCTCCTCCTTGGTCTGTCTCATCTTCTTCTTGAGCACGTCGAGAAGGGTGCCCTGCATTTGGGTCGACATGCTGGCCGGATAGGCGCGTGTAGCGTTCCTCCCTCAAACACTGATTTTAAAACGCGGCTTGATCGCGAGCTGCCCCGTTCAGTCGCGGCGTTTAGTGTCGAGACGATGCCTCGCGACGATCGCCCGTGAAAACGACAAGAGACCGATGAACACGACGTAAACGGGAACCAAGTATGTCCGGAGTTAACGAGAGGCGACCGGCACCCGTGCAACAGAGAGAGAGTTTCGTTGCCTCCGAGCTGTCGTGCACTGACGACCACTGGCTGCTGTTGACTGGAAAGCAAGATGGCTGCCCCCGGCCATCACGCGCATGCGCGGTACACCTCTGCGGACGTCAAATAGTCCCTTGCCCTTATTCCGATGGTCTCGCCGGGATATTCTCAGGGAGTTTCTCATCGGTTGGAATCAAGAGCCGATGTCCTTTTGATGTTTTCTCGTCGATTATTATCGATAACGGAGAAACACGGAGCTGGTTGTTGAATAATCTCTGTTTGCTTTCGTGACCGCGGCACAAATCGCGACGCCGCACGCCGAGTATCGCTACGCCGATCGACGTGTCGTCGCGCGCAAAGCCCCGGAAATACCGCGCCCGTCCCGAGCGCGCCCAACCATTCGAATGGACGCTCGACAACAATCCCTGCGTTGTTTCGTATCATCGTCCTGGTTCAATGCTAGACAAAATGTTGCTTCAAGTAATAAATAATGCGTTTCAGGTTGAATCTTGTGTACGATTTTGATGGTAGAATATCTTGTTTGTTGCATTAAGATGGTAAAATTATATTTGAAAACGGCATGTAGTTTTAAGAGTTCAGAATACATTCGGATCTAATTTAAAAATATTTCTGTTCAGATAGAAGAGATAGGGTTTTCTAAATAATGAAAATTTTCGACTTTCTTGCATGCGTATGGCGACTTAAAATGAAAATTAATTTAATTAATCAATTTAATTATCTTTTTCGATAAAATAATAATATTTTATTTGTTCCAAATTTCGCTTGCTACTTAGAATATTTATTTTTCTGCAATTTATTCAGCTTTGTCACTGCATTCATCCGATCTGAGGCTGAACGTTCCCCGATGTTCGAACATGAACGATAGTTCGAACACGGATGATAAGTTTCTTCGAACTACCAATCATTTCCGACGATTGATACGTTGTATTCCGAAGAATTGAATGAAAGCGAGAACACGAGGGACATTTACTTTTAGGAACTTTACTCCGATATTCAATGCTTAATGATAAGACGATGTTGAAAATACGTTGGTCAAAGTATTCTGTAATTATTCGATCGGTTCTGGTGCAGAATATAACGGGACAAAATATGCGCACGCGCCATCTACGAACTGCTCCATGTAAACGGAAATCAAAAGTGACACAACGGTTTTATTCGGTTGATAAATAGTGACGTTGAGAAAAATCATGACGTAAGCGTGATATCATCGAATATTTAACAATGGTTGAAACAATCGTCGTCTAAATTAATAATAATAAAAACCATATAGTGAAGGGTGAAAGAATTTGTATCGTATGAATGTCAAAAGTAAAAGAGAACTATATTTGCAATATTGATAATCACTGTTAAGTATGTACAATCTTACACTGTACACGAATAGTCATAATAATAATCATTCGTCGGAACACAAGTTGTATATATAAACGTTTTGTAGTCAATACATGTACTTAAGGACAAGGTTTCAATTAGCGTCAACACTTGGCAGCCAAGGCAACAATATTAATAACCAACTGAAAAATTTTATTCACAACTAATTCATCTCCGAATAGTTTCTATATAGTACACAATTACAATACGGTCGAATATTAATCGAATATTCATTAAAATATAGTCCTTCTATCGTATATCTCACGGTTGTACAAAAACTTTAATCCCTCACTGTGCTTTTCAAAGATAATTCGATCGTTCAGTGTTGATTTATTTTTACGGATGAGCGATGCGAACAATTTCGACTACCGGTAGCTCCATCTAGCATTCCATGATTCTACTTCAAATTCGAATACCGTCAAAACTGTGGACTATATAAGAATCGAGAGCGATCAATCAGATTGAAATAAAATTTTACATCAAAATCGCTGTGGCTAGGCTGTACGCGAATAATGCCGGCGCAGATGGCAGCAGGTTTGCGAGAAATCGCGGAATGCGATATATAAACAACGCAGATAAGATCCAAGGGGACCCGATCCGGCGTTCCAAAGGTCGTCGCCGACGAACTGACCGCGAGACGGAACGCGTTCCAAATTCGTGGCAAATACGGAACGGACGTTTTGCAACAGCATTTTATTATACCGTAACGTCGCCGCGTTTAAATGCTTCTAACGAGGCGGATTTGTGGGAGCTCGGCGTTCCGGAGCAATGCTTACGCAATGCCCTCTCCGAGTGCCGAATAAAAGGCTGCTGGATCCGCGCGCACGGTCGTCATGTATTTTTAGAATGTTGACGGGCTCTGCTCGTGTTTGGTTTATACCAGGGTAATTCAAACAGTCAAAGGGAAGCCTTCCACCCGGAATGATTCAGAGGATCCTTGCTCCTAAATTTCCTTTCAAGCCTCTCTCGTTCCGTTGCGAAGCAAATGTCCAAATACCACAAAAGTATTTCATTCCTCCCGCGTGTATACGCTTCAATGAACAACCGCGACAATAGCGCAGATCGGTGGCCATTTTGAAAATGGCTCTTTCGAAAATTCGTTTCTATTGCGTCAGCCAGTTTATCAGGCTGTTCAACGTGTACGCTATTAATCGTACGAACATATCAAATGTAACAATAAACACATGTTTGTAATATTTTGCCAAATATTTTTCATAACGTCACGTTACTTTTGGGGCCAAGTGTACCCGCTCGAGTATCTGATAATACCGCCAAGTTTGGCGGTGTTGCACCCGCCGAACACGTCATATTTCAGCGAAAGGCGGGGCCGCGTTCCAAAAACGAGCTAGCAAAAGAACATCACGTCGGACGTGCGTCGGGTCGACGTGGTTAGTTGACAGTCGAAGAGGACCGCGTTATTCGATCCACGGATTAGTCCGACCACCTATATAAGAATACTGTTTATCGTGTCAGGCGAGAGAATCACGCTTAACCCATTGTCTCCGTTCACTAACCCTAACAATGGGCGCTCTTTGTCGGGCGATCGTGCGTCGTTAAGCGACCGACAAGAAAGTCCATCGGCGCTCGACGCGCTCCTAATGGCCTCTTAATTATTATTGCAGGACATCGCGACCAACGGTGCATTATTCAACGTTGCGCGTTGAGCCCAGCGATTTCGATTTTCAGTTGGCGACTGTGGGACCGAGGCCTTGAACAGCCTTTCTCTAATCAGCAACCGAGGCGGTTCAGTAATTTTCCAGGATGAACGTGTGAGAATGGTGCTTAATTAAAATGAACGAGCAAAGTTGATTGCAGCGTTCTTTTAAGTTCGATCCTTACGTCGGCAACAAACAGTTTTTTTGCAGCGTTCGATGTAAATGAGGTAGCAAGGTACATAAAATCTTTCACCTCGGATAAATATACATATGCATGTATAACGGGTGTCTCGTAATACGCGAGGATCACACCTTGGGGACAGCAAAAGAAGTTCACATAAACGTACGTTTTATTCGACTATGTTTCCAATTATATAGGTTTATATGAACTTTTTTTTTTGTTTATATGTGAAGGTATCCCTAAGAGACTTCCACATTTGAGACACCCTGTATAGATAAAGGGGCAAGTCTCCATCCACGACGGTACATTGTCAAATGCTACTTTCACTTTTTTACAAGATGTGACGGTTGATGTAAAATTAACGTTAATTTTCCGTGAATGTTTCGCAATATTTCAACGCAGTGGTTCAGAAGAAATTCGTGAACAAAAGTTGAAAATGGAGTCACAGTTAACACGTTGAATGCCGTGAGGGTTACCGATGACCCAAACTAAATCGAATTACTGTGGTCCACTCAATCAAACGATGATTATTTGAAAACATTTCTATATTATAAATAATGCCACCTAATGCGGTGACATTCAGCTGGACGAACGTGCGGTAATAATAATTCAATTCGATCAAATGATTCGATGTTACATCTTTTCCATTTTGTGTATTTTGTTCGATGAAATCGAGCGGCGTTCGACGTGTTAACATAATAGTAGGAACGATCGAGGATCGACAACAACGATATTGTTTCAAGTTCGAACAGCCTTCAATCAAATGGTCCATGTAACGTCATCGCGGCTAACCGCTGGTTCACCTAACCTAGCCGCGCGTATTTTTACCCGCTCTCCTTGTACGGTATCGGATTCATGTAGATGAACCGTGTCCGAGAAGAGGCGGTCGTCCGCATGGCGACAGAAACGTAGAATACCATGAAACGAACAATGACAGCGGTACGGAGTGAGAAAGACCGAGAAAGAGAGAGAAAGAAAGAGAAAGCGGGACTTTAACCGATGATTCGTTTGGTTATCAAGGGCCAAATGACCCCAGGGTACCCATTGACCGACGTCATCGGTCTATCAAGGTCACGTCACGCGAGTGACCTTCCCAAGCGACGCGTCTACATACCGGCCGCGTCAGCCGACGCATCATGCGATACTGACCCGTTTCAGCTGGTTCCCCATAGTGTTCTGCAGTTCGTTCTGTATCAGCCGGAACTTAATCATCGTTTCGCTGGAGAATATGGAGGAGCCGAAAGCCAGTCCAGGATAATCGGCGCATCTTCTTCGTCTCCTGGCCTCCCTCTCGGCCTGCACCTCGGCCCTCTCGCTGGGACATCTGAGTTTGGCCAACTCGACCAGCTCGGGATCCTCGTCATCGTCCGAGTTCCCGTCGCCGCGAGCCCTCGCGACCGCGTGCTCAGGCTCCGGCGATGCATCTTTGCCCCTCGTATCGAAGAACGTGTCGTCGTCGATCTCTTTGCCATGAGGTCCCATCCGTGGCCTGTCCAACGACGACGCGTCAACGTCGAAGCTGTCATAGCTCTCGTCTTCGTGTTTACTCTTACGGACGGGCCGTTGTTGCTGTTGTTGTTGTTCGTGTCGTTCGGTTCGAACATCGGGGCTACACTGCGCGAGCCTTTGTTCGATGTTCGTCGTCTCTTCCTTCGACGTGTCTTTGACGATCAAAGACGGCGGTATCGCGGGGTTACGGTGCCACCTCGCGCCGACGGTCGCGGCTCGTGTCACCGGCGGCGGCGAACACTCCGTGTCGATGACACAGCTTTTTTCGTCGAGCCTGGCCGACGTGACGGTCGACGATTGCTCGTCGATGCCGATCACCGTGTTCTTAACGATACCAGCAGGGCCACACTGCGCGGGTCCTCTGCTGGAGGCGTCGAAACGTCGGCGCGTTGCGTGCCGCGGATGATGCTGATGACCGCGACGTCTCGTGGTCGACGTAAGAGCTGGCTCCATACCACGTTATCCCAGCTGCCAACCCTTTTCCAACCCCCTTTCCTTCCGTCGTACCTCCCGCGTTCTCCTTTTTCCCTTTTTTCTTTTTCTCGTTTCTTTTTTATCTTCGACGCGCCACACGCACCACCGTTACTACCACCGCACAAGGCACACCGCCATCTTGTCTGTCACTGTTCGTAACACGTTTCTCACCGCGCCACGCATACGTCCTTCTGTCTTGTTACTCTCGTTCCCTCTCTCTCCCTCTCTTTCTCTTTCTCGCGGCGCGGCGACGACGCACACACACCGTGCGCTGCCGTACGACGGGCACGGAACGCATGCACACGGAGAGGAGACACGTTGGTCTCCGCTCTCTGCACCGTCCTGCTCTGATTTCTGTCCTGCTTTCTCTCTCCGCGGACTATCTTTTTCCTTGTCTGTTGCTCTATGCGCGGAACCAGGTTACCCCCTCCCTCCTGCCGAGAGGGCCCACCACCACACCGACCAGACCGAACCTTGCGCCGAGCGCCGCCGAAACAACGAAACGGCAGCCACGCGTACTAACGCTCGACTGGACTGGTTCAGTACGACGCGCGCCCTGTGATCGTTCTTTCGCCGCGCGGCGGCTGCGCGGCGACTCACGCGACATCTGACGTTTCGCGAACGTTACCTCGCCGTCGGTAACAACGCGATTACTGATAAGTAGATTGCGGATTTTGCGCACTTCGGACCATTTCGAATTCAGTTTCGACGAAATTTCAAGGCTGTTCGACGGGATTTTTTGTTTACTTTGCATTCGACTGATATTACGGCTTAACGTCTGTCTTTGTAAACGAATTTGTGAAAGTATCAGAGAAACACATTCTACTGATAAGGGATCATTGTCTCAGCGAATTGTTCGATTTTTTAGCACCCTCTTTTCACTGTAACTTTTGCTCGATTCGTTTGAGTTATGTCTATGCATGGCTAATGTTTTTTAATTTGTCTATAACGCTGGAGTTAGGAATCTCTGGAGGATAAGTGAAAATGTGATTTAAAGTATAACATTTGAACTTATCGTTCGTTATGAATTATCGTTATCGACGGTTGATCTCGGTGAATTTTTTCGTGATAAGATGATTCGGTACTCACGTTCTGCAGAGCTTTGTCCTTTTCTTCCAATTTAGCGTTGACCTGCATGAGGGCCTCCTGAGTCTGATCGAGTTCATTTTCAATAGTCTGGATCTTCTTTTGCAGAGCACGCGCCTCCTCCTCGGCCTTTCGACAGTGAATACATAAATCAGTTACATTCCAGTTACTGCTCCGGAGAACTGGCACAACGTATGATACACAGAAGTTCGCAACTTTGTCCGCGTCGAGTATCGTAGTAGATCAAAGGAATGCGAAAGTTCCAGATCTATAATTAAAATTCTTGACCGGTTGCCAAACCTATATTGCATTTTTATTCCGACCCCATTATTTCATTGCTATTTTTACCCCCTATATCGTAGAAATGTAAACAGACAATTTTGGAACCTTAATGTATATCATATTACTTTTTCTTTCCCTTTTTACCCGCGAATCGGTCCACGCGGGACACTTTTAGTCCGCGCGTTTCCCGATCGATTCCAACCGAACATTTAATCGTTCCTCGGTAACAAATTCATATCGTGAACCAATTTTTACCTTTTCAGCTCGCGCGTTCGCGTCGCGAGCTTGCTGTTCGCAGAGCAACGCGCGATCCATCGCGTTGTCCTTCTCCAGCTTCATTCCCTGCATCTTCTTCTTGATCGCGTCCATGGCGGCGGTGTTGTTTCGTTACTCGTTCACGAGAAAAAAAAAGGGGGTATCTAGAAACATGAAGAATCCGCCCGTTATCCGGCAGCAAACATAATGATCGTCCACGCCGCTCTTTCCCATGA